AGCCCAGGCTGTCCCTCGCTGGTGCATGGCAGGCCTGGGCCAGGCTGGGCAGGGCTGGAAGGGTTCTCCCCAGGGTTGGGTTTGGGGAGGGGCTGCAGCTGTGGGCTTGCAGCCCTCGGTGGGCTGCAGGGACCGGCTGAGCCCACCTGCAGCTCCACCAGGCAGGCCTGGTGATGCCGCTTTGGTGTGCTGGGGCTAACTGCGTGGCAGTAACTGCTAATCAATTAATGGCTGTGAACCTGTCGTCCTACCCCCCGCCCCCCAACCTTCACCCTCCAGTGCTCCTGCCTCGGCCCAACAGGGAACTCTCACCCGGCTCTTAGGGTGCTGGGTCAGGTTGGGGGTGCTGCAGGGCTGGCACCTGAGCCCCCCAATTAGAGGGTCTGAAGGCTGGGGAAGCAGAGGCCCTGCCCTCTGCAACCCCTAGAGCCTGGGTCTGCTCCAGGCTCAGGTCAGTGGGTCAGCGTGGGGTCTCTGGCTCTTCCGTGGCTGGCTGTGTGCCAGGCAGATGGGGAAGGAACCCCTGTTCTGGGGGCTTCTCTCTCTCCAGTGGTTGGCCTGGTAGAGACGGATGTGCTCTGGAGGGTCCTGGCCTTACGTGAGGACCCTGCTTTCTGCCTGGGGCAGGGGCCAGGGGCATGGGTGTGGGGTTGGGCCTGGGACCTGCTGTCTGAGCTGGTGACTGTACCCGCAGCCTGGCAGGAAGCAGCTGTTCCCTCCCAGGGTCCGTCCCTGCTGCTGGTCACCGGCTGTGCTGTGACGGCGAGCGCCAGACCCCGCAGCCTCATGGAAAGCAGGGTTCTGGGTTCAAGTGCATGGTCTGCTGTGTGCCTGAGCCGTGGCTGGCGTTAGTGGAGGACGTGGAGGGAGGCTGCTTAAACCATGTACGTACCTCTTCTGGGGTCCCCACTGGGGTCCCCGCTGCCAGCGCTGTGATCACGGGCCGAAGCCAGGCACCTCTCAGGCCTCAGGACCCCTTGGCCATCTGCTGCAAGGATTTTCCAGAAAATAGAACCCCATTCTCAAGCTCTGGGGTTGCTGTGTGTCAGGGGTGGCCCCAGGTGGGTGGGTCAGGGCCCTGGGCACCCCAGGTGGGCGGGTCAGGGCCTAGGCACCCCAGGTGGGCGGGTCAGGGCCCCGGGCACCCCAGGTGGGCGGATCAGGGCCTGGGCACCCCAGGTGGCCGGGTCAGGGCCCCGGGCACCCCAGGTGGGCGGGTCAGGCCCTGGGTACCCTGGCGGAGTCGTGGGGTGGGCCTGGCCAAGTGCACGTGTCTGGCCTGGGTGGGAGTACCCCCATGTGTGCCTTGAGCTGGGAGGCCCCCTTCCCCGGCCGGCACGGTCAGGCTGGGTCTGCCCACGCGCCCTGCCACCTGACTCACCCAACCCCAACCGTGACCACTGTACCAGTCTATTCATAACTGGTTCTGGAACTTTCTCCCCTTTAGGCGCTGGGTAGGGTGCCAGAGGGAACTCGGAGGGCCTGCTCACAGGTGAGCGAGGGGCGCCTCCTGTCACCTCCTGCCGGCCCGCCTGGCCCCAGACCGTGCACGGCACACATAGGGAGAGGGGCCTGGGTGTGCGGGCTGTCGGGGAGGTCTGCCTTGGCCAGGACACTCAGGACCCAGCCTGGTTCCTTCCTGTCCTTCTCTGGCCTGCGGGGACATGTGTGGGCGGAGGTGGTGGCGGCAGGAAGACGGGGTGGCAGCTGTGGCCGTAGGCGCTTGTGAGTACTGGTCAGTAGGACTTCGGTTTGGCCCATGCTGGCACCTGCCGTGGGTAGCCCATGGGTGTTTCCTGCAGTCACTTGCGTGTCCTGATTGACCAAGGCTCAGGAACTCCCAAGAGTCCACGGTTGGGGGTAGGCGGTGGCTTCCAGGGCTGCTGGGCCAAGTGAGTGGGCAGAGGCAGAAAGTTCTGGAGTGGGAGCTCCGGGCCCGAGTGCCGTGGCCTCCCTTCTGATCTGACCTGGTCTACCTGCTCCGTTTGCTCAGTGGAGAGAGCGCCGTGCCCTTGGGTGCCAATCCGCATGGACCGGCTGAGTCCCTGGTGCCTCCTCAGCTGAGGGTGAGCCTTGGCTGGGCAGGGCCTTCTCCTGCCCTCGGCTCGGCCCTGCCAGCGGTGCTCTGAGCTGGGCAGCGTGGCCCGTGGGCCTGGTGGGGGAGACCCCCCAGCTGCCCCACATCCCTGGGAGCACCGATTACAGTTGTGGAAATGCAGACTCTCACAGGCCCCTGCAGAGCTCTGGCCTCCCCCCGTCAGGGGCTCGGGGTGCTCCAGGGGCATGGGGGACCTGCTGCTTGGCCAGCCCAGCCACTGTACTCTGGGGTCCCGTCCGATGGTCACGGCTCTGAGACCCTCAAAAGCAGGGACCTCCTCTCTGTAACAGGAAATGAGGCTGGGGCCTCTGTGAGTGGGAGGTGGGTGAACTGGGCAGGCGGGCGGTGGGCTGTGCGTTTGGCCCTGTGCAGGCCTCTGGGGACCCCCCCAAGTGCCCCAGCTGGAAGCCCCTTCTCCCGTTGGGGGCAGGAGTGCCTGGCCGGCGTGGGCAGGATTGGCAGGCAGGGCCGCCTGTGACAGCAGCGTGCCTGTGGCCTGCCTTGGTGGTCTTGCTGCTGGCAGGACAGGCCGGGCTGAGCTGGGGGCTGGACCTGTGTGTGTGGGGAGCAGTGTTGTGGGTGGCCAGGCTAGGCAGCGGCAGGGTGCGGTGGGGAGTGGCTTGCTGGGGTTCTGGCCCAGGAGGGCAGGGGAGTGGGCCAGAAGGCACTCTCCCTTCGCTCGCTGCCCCCACCCACTGGCCTGCTCTGTGTTGGAGCCCTGGCCTCTGCCAGGGACTGGGGGTGTCCTCAAGTGGCCACCCTCGTGCTTTGTCTTTTGGAGATAGGTAACCCTCAGTGATGGGCTTGGGGCCCAGCGCACTCGCCAGGCGTGTGCCAGGCCTGTCCAGTGTGGGTGCTGCCTGGTGGGAGGTGGGGTGCGGCCTCGGCCCCTGCCCCTGCCTGGCTGGCTGCCCGTTCGCTCCGGCTCCAGCAGGCCCTGGCGTGGGTGCGGGAGCTCACGTGATCCTGGCTTCTCCAGCTGGCGCTGGCTGCTTCTGTCTCCTACTGGCGGCCACATCTGGAATGCGTTACCTCGGGGTGTCGCAGCCGCAGAAGCTCCTGGCCCGGGAGGAAGGGGCCCCCTCCGCCGGCGTCACCCGCAGCCTTCAGCTGCCCTGGGCTGCCTTGTCCCCCGTGGGCTGGCGTAGGGAGGGACAGGGAGGAAGTGGTGCCCGTTTGCCCCCGCAGGAGGAGCTGGGTGGGGCTGGAGACTGGGCCTGGGGCCAGCCTGGCCTGCCTGCCTCCTTTTGCTTTGCAGTGGGAAGGACCTATCTGGCTGTGCCCAGGGCTCCTTGCTTGGCTGGATCCCCAGACTACGGGGTCCTCCCTGTAGTACAGACACACAGGGACGGGAACCTGTGTGGACAGAGGGACAGGGGTCGGAACGTTCTAGAAGTGTACCTTGGCTCCTGCTGGGAGGGCCTGTGTGTTTGCAAGGCCAGCCCTTGTCGCCGTCCTCATGCCCTGCCTGTGGCCAGCGCCAGGCTTTCGGGCTGCCTGACTTCCGCTCCTGGGAGGCTGGCCGTGCTGGGCGTGGACGCAGCTTGCAGCCCACGTGGGAGCAGCCACGCCCCAGCTCCTTGTGGGTCCATGTGGGAAGGGGGCTTCTGGGGGCAGGTCTGTGACGTGTCCATCCTGTGTTCTCTTCTTGGGGCCCAGCAGAGTGGGAGGTGGCACTCGGGAACAGGATTGGAGCCCAGTCAGGGGCTGAATGTGTATATGGTCCGTGCCGGCCGGGGCTCAGCCTGCCCGTCTGTGCAATGGGACAGGAGCTGCTGGCACCGACCGAGGCACAGGGCGACTTGGCGCCTTTAGCTCCCGCTCCGCCCCTGGTTTGTTGCAGAGCTGCGAGGGGTGGCGCCTGAGGTGCCAGGCAGCTCCTCCTCCTCCTCGGGCTTCCTCTCCCTCCCTGGGCCTCCACCCAGGGCCCGCCCAGCCTGTCGCTGGCAGCTGCAGCTGGTTCCCCGGGCCTTGGGCCCAGCAGCAGGTTTGTGCTGACGCTGCAGGCGCTGCTGATGAAGCTAACAGTTCTCGGAGCTCCCCGCAGACAGCCTGAGATGCTATCAGGCCGGCTGGAGAGATGCCACGCCACACCACGCCACGCCACGCCACGCCCCTGTCCTAGCAGCTTGTCACTTAGCAAACACTGCTGGTTCCATCTTCTCTAGCTTAGCTGGGGCACTTGGCCTTCTAGGTCCCCATGGAGCCCACAGGCAGCCCCTGCCTTCCCGGGGACCCTCCCTGGCCTTGCGTGGGTGGGGGACGGGGCTACCGTGGTGAGCTGTGACACCCATGGTTGCCTGGTTCTCTGGAGGTGCCAGGTGGTTCTTCCCACCGAGTTATGGTGGGGGCAGGGGCCCTATCTCTGTAAGCCCTGGAGAGATCTGAGGATGAGTGGGCAGATGTGGATATAAGGCTGTGAACCCCCACTTCCCCGAGAGGGTCAGCAGCTCCGGCACTGTGACAGCTGCAGCCAGGACCCCACGTACTGAGGCTGGGTGGGCGGCCTCCTGTGCTCGGGGCCTCCCTGCACTGCCAGGTGGCCGAGTGGCTCCCCCGTGGGCTCCAGGGACTCGGGGAGCCAGGTAGGTGTGTTGTTGGGAGAACAGGATAAAACCCAAGTTTATTTTGCTGCATTTAAAAAATTGTCCCAGTGTGTGTGTGCTCTGTGAAGAGTCGTGTGTGTGTGCGAACAGTGCCGGGTGCCACACCTCCCCGGGCCTCTCGAGCCCTTGGAGGGGCCTGTGCATGGCGGGGAGTGCCCAGTGAGGGGCTTGCGTCCCACTGGCCCGCTCGCTCGCACCCCAGCTGGGAGTGTAAATGGGGGAGAGCCCTGCAGTGGCTGTCGCAGCCTCAGCCCGGCAGGTGCCGTGGGCTGGACTTGTGGCCCTTGGCCGCCGTGGCTTGGGAGGCTCAGCTCGGGGCTGCGGCTGCACTTTGGGTACAGCAGCCACCCCCGTGAGCCCCACCTGTGCTGGCCTGTCCCCGAGGGTCAGGTGCAGGGAGGGCGCGTGCCTGTGTCTCGCCAGCCATCCTTCCTGGATGCTGCTCGGGCGTGTTGAAACTCGGCTGTGACACAGCCGCAGTGTTGAAACAAGTGTGTGTGCATTTCCCAACATCCTGCCGGCCCGTCACAGGACTGGGTGTCGGCCCCGTGACGTCAGGGCAGGGTCCTCTGTGCTACCTGCTCCTGGTGGCTTCCCCATGGACAGAGGGGCAAGTGAAGGCTCGGTGAGGGTTGAGGCATGGGACGTGAACCCCAGGCCTCCGAGTGCGAGGGGCGGGAAGGGAGGCCAGGGGCCCAGGCCTGGCTGTGACGCATGGCCCTCGCGAGGGTGGTCTAGGGTCCGGCTTTGCTGCCAGCTCCGCAGCATGAACTGCTTCCTGGAGCTCTGTGAGGGAGAAGGTGGGATGAAGGGCCGGCCAGGTGTGAGCAGCCTGTGACAGTGGCCCTGGCGGCCAGGCTGGCTGCCGGGTCGTGCAATTGTGGCCTTAGCCTGGGGCGGGGGTTGGGGGCGGCGTGATGTGGGTCTCCCCACACCAGGCGCGTGTTCCTGGGAGGAAGCTGAGGTTCAAAGCTGCCCAGGACCTTCCTGGGGACAGCAAGGACGCTGCCCCGACCAGGACTCTGCCCTCCCGTCCAGGAGCAGCTGGACATGCCCACACCATGTGACCTCGGTCAGGGCCTGTGCTTTGCGCTGTCCTAGGGGCAGAGCTGGGCGGCCAGGTCCAGAGCCTGGGTGAGAAGATGTTGCAGGGAGCCGGAGAGGGGTTCAAGGCCCGTCCCCTCACCGGCTGGGTGCAGGCCCGTGAACCCTAGGAAACACGTGATGAGGCCCTGCATGGGCGTCAGTGTCGGCGAAGAAGGGTACACCAGTGTTCTGGACGAGGAAGCCGGACCCCGAGGGGACCGGGGCGGGTCTGGGCCCTGCAGCCAGGCGGCCACTGCACCCTGGTTTCTGGTAAGGTGGCTGGAGGAGGCTGTGGGTTACAGATGGCACCAGAAGGGGCAGGGCAGTGGGCATGATATGAGCTCGGTGGCCATGCGATCATGCGAGGTGTTACGGTTGGCACCCGCCTCGGGAGCAGCTTAGCTCCTCCAGGTCCTGAGGACCTCGTGCCAACCCATTTCCCAGATGAGAGCACCATGGGGCCGCTGTGGATGTCAGCCTGGAGGTCAGGTGGCTGGGGCAGCGTGCCCTTGCGGTCTGTGCATCTGCCAGCTATGCAGCAAAGGAATAGGGGAGCCTCTTGGTGGCCCCTTGGCCTTGGGAAGGGGCTGGCCGGATGACTCGGGACCAGGTGTCCCTGCGAAGGTCTGGCTCCGCGATGGGACGCGGTGGGCCCCTTGGCTGTGTCCAGGCTTCCCGTGAGGCGGCAGCCGAAGGTGCCGTCTCCTCTCAGGGGCCGAGGAAGTTCCCCCGGGGGAGGTTGAGTCTGACGCTGCGGCCCCACCCAGCTGTAAGTAGTGCTGCCAGAACTGGCACCAGGGTGCTCACCTCGGGCACCTGTGCCTCAGGTGGAGCGTGGCCAGGGCTGAGGATGGGTGAGGAAAGACCTGCCTTTTGTTCTCCATCCACTTCTGCAGTGCTGTGGTGCCCAGCTGGCTGGGTGGGGGAGTGAAGCTGTGGCTCCCAGGTGGCCAGAGGACGCCCCCTCCCCCTCTGGGCCTCCTGGCCCTGCAGGTGCTGGCTGGTGGGGGAATCCCCCTGCCAGGTGGCTGGGGGGTGCTGCCCTCCCACCCCCAGGCTCCTGGCCCTGCAGGAGCCGGCTGTCATGGCTGTTCTGTCCCTTCTCTGCTGTGACCGGAGCAGGTGCAGCTCCTTGGTGTCCCTGCTGTGCTGGAGGAGGCCAGAGACTCATAGCGGCCGCATTCCTCGGAGGTACCTCCTCCAAAGAGGAAGTTGAGGCACAGAGAGGCGGCCCGAGTTGCTTGTACTTGTCCAGCCCTGGACTGGCGTCCGGCCCTGGAGTCTCCTTGGAACTGGGTCTTCACTGTCCCTTCACCTGCCCACCGTCACCCCTCCCCCGTGGCTGTATTTGGCACCTGCTCTGTGCCAGGCCTAGGGTCGGCTCTGCATGCAGGGCTCCTCAAAATGTGGTGGGCTTAGGCAGGTGGGTAGACCGAGACCACCCCAGGTGAGAGCCTATGAGGGGCTTCCTGCAGGTGGTGCATCTGGGGCCGGGAAGCCTGGGGGAATTCCAGAGATGGTTCAAGGCTGGCACCAGGGTCTAGCCTGTTTCTGGAATGACCCCAGGGTGGGACAGAGAGTGGGCAGGGGTGCCAGAGAGCATACGTCAGCGTGGGGTGGGCCTGGCAGGGAGGTGGCTGCAGCCTCCTGGCCAGGCACTCTAGGAACCATTTCTGTCGCTGACACCCCAGGGGTTTGGGAGATGGGTGTTGGCAGGACTGCTGGTCTGGCTGTCCCAGTCCCAGCTGAGAGTCGGGCCTGGCAGCTGGCAGAAGTCTCCAGCAGGCCCTGGCCCCATGTGAGCCCTGTCCCCATCTGGGTTACCAGGGCCTCGATGACACCCTGGGCCTTGGAGCCAGGGTGGCCGTGCCGGATCCACTGGCACCTCTGCCCCAGTGCCACCAGCCAGCGTGGCTGTGGTGAAGTCGGGCTCTTTGCAGACCCGTCCCCTCCCAGAGTCCCCCACCCCGTGTGCGGTCACCAAGCCTCGGCTGTCTGCTGTCCAGGAGCCTGGATCAGGAAAGGGAAGGAGGTAGGGGCATAACCGTCCGATGGGGCCCCGGGCACCTGGGGCAGTGAGTGTGGCAGGGCGGGGAGGGCGAATCTGTCAGACTGCACTGCCCATGGTCCCCTGCCCTGGCTGCCAGTCCTACCTCTGCCCCCTCGTGCTGCCCTCCACTGCCCTCCAGCACCCCTTGTCTCTGGCCACTCGAGGAGGCGCTTGGGCCTGGGTGGGTCCGTGGAAGGGTCCCAGCAGAGAGGGGTGGGTCAGCGAGGGGCAGGGATGTTTGGTGTCTGGGCAGCGGGCTGAGCCTTGGGCAAGTGTGTGCTGACCCCAGGCCCACTGCCCAGATGCCCTCCCCGCTGCTCTCTCTGACCCTGGGCCAGCTGCACCGCTGGTCTTAGCTGCACCACCTCCACTCCTGGCCAGTCCTGCTCAGCTCTGGAGGCCCAGGTGCTGGGAGCCACGGTGGGGACAGCCTGTGGGGCCAGGGGGGCCCCCACTTCTCCAAGCCCCTACTCTTTGTGGCCTAGCCAGCACAGTGGTGTCTCCAAGGCAGTGAGGGGCCCAGCTGTGCAGCCACGTGGCACGGCCAGCCCCTGGCCAGAGCTTGCTCCTGTGTGTGGGGGCGGCATGGGCCACACCTTGGTCATGGAGCCTTCTGGCTGTTTCTGTTTGTTTGAGTGTGGCCTGGGACATGCCAGCTTCCTAGGCTCTGAGGCTTCCCTGTGGTACCCCCTGGCTACTGCGGGGTGGACTGCAGGACCCCGTGGTTCTCGTGGGAGCGGAGACAGGCAGAGCCCTGGCCCATGCTGGGCTGGCTTCCTGTCTGTGTTCCCCTTTGCAAAATGGGCCTGGTCCCTCTGCCCGGCTGCTGGCTGTGCGTGGGACGGATGCCTCGCCGGCTGCCTGCCAAGCTCACGTGTTCCTCCCCTCCCCATGCCGCGGTGGTTGGCATGTCATGGCAGGGGGTGGTGGTGCTTGGCCGTGGTGATTTTTTGGGGGGGATGTCTGGGTTGCAATGTGAGTGGGCTTGGTGCTGCCCTGCCTTGCCCGGCAGAGGGAGAGGGGCCCAGGTGGGTTGAGAGCCTCTGGAGCCCCAGCCTCTGCCCTGAGCCCCCTAGCAGCGGCTCCACCTCGCCTAGACCGTTGTGCTTGCTGTGTGTGTGTGCAAGGGGTCCCATGTCTGGGTCTTGGACCCCCCATGGTGGGGGGAAGGGGTGTGAGGGATGAGGTGGGCCCAGTCGCAGAGCAGAGACTCGAAAGCTGTAAATGTGGAGAGGGCCTGGCACTGAGCCGAGCCGAGCCCCCTGCATGGATGCCCTGGAGCATCGTGGGTGCAGAGCAGGTCTGGGCTGCCCTGGGGCTTAGGAGCCAGCTGGGCAGGAAGTGGCTAGCTGCCTGGGTTTTGGGTAAGGCCAGGGAGGGGCACAGAGCGAGGCGAGGCCTAGGCCTTGGGAGGGCCCAGCACCATAGACCCTGGCCTATGACGGTGGGTTCCAAGGTGGTGGCCCTGGCCGGCACCAGGCTGTGTGGCACACAGAGCTGGCCGTGCCCGCTGCCCCGGGGTTTGCTGAGGGTCCCAAGTGCCCTGCAGATCAAGAGCTGATGGTGCAGAACCCTGCTGTGTCTACTGGCCACTCTGGGGCCAAGTGTTGGAGCTGGCTTGGGGTCTCCTTGGCTTCTGGGGGTCAGGTTGTATTGCCTGTCCAGTACCCAGAAGAGAGGCCATGCTGTGTCCTGGCCTTCCAGGGGGTGGTAGGCTGGGGCTCCTCAGGAGCAAGGTCACTGCTGCCCTGACCGCTGGGCTCCCGGCCCCACCCTGGGCCCCGCACCTCCGGCTCGCTGGTCTTGCCTGCCCAGCCTGTCCTGATCCCCTTGGCCAGGACTGTTTTCAGGTTTCACCCATTGCCAATCCCAGCCCCTGAGCCAGGCCACCCCTAAGCTGGTCCCAGGTGTGTTCTGGGCCCACGCCTGCCCCTCTCTGGCCATCTTGGGGTGGGAGCTATGGCAGAGGATGCAGCTGCCCAATGCTGGGGGTGCTTGGAGGGAGGGAGGCCTGCCCGGGCAGCTGTGTCCAGTCCAGGTTGAGACCGGTCTCCTGCCCTTCCCCTGCTGGACGCTGTTCCGAGTCCCCGGCCTCCCTGGGAGCCTTGGAGGTGCTGTCCTGCAGCCCCAAGGCAGCTGCCAGAGCTTGAATCCCAAGGCTTGGGGAACTGCATTTGGGTATTTGTGGGCTGACCTCCCTGGACATGGCACTGCCAGTGTCCCCCCCTCAGTACAGGCAGGGCCCCGTCAGCCCTGTGTGTGGGATACCGTGGCCCTTCTGAGAGCTGGTGGGCCCAGCACGCCCATGCACTGTTGCTGCCAGTGTCAAGCCCGGGCAGGTGCGTGTGCGAGGTAGGCCTGGTGAGTCATGCAGGCCTGGGCCCGGGGGTGGAGCGGACAGGCAGGCCCCCTGTGGGCTGCCATGCTGAGGCTTGCCACTACCCGCCCATGGGCTGGCACCGTGGAGTAGGGCCTGGATGAGGGGTCTGACTGGGGCAGGGGCCAGGTCAGAGTTTGGGGTCGGTCTCTGCTATGGGGCTGAGGTGGCTCGAGACGTGGGCATGCTCCTTCAGGCCAGTGTCCATGTGGCTAAGTGACCTCAGAGCTGAGGCCAGGAACTGCCAAGGAGTCTTGGAGCCAGGGGCTTGTTAGATTCTGTGTGACAGAAAGAGGGAAGGCTTCCCGGAGGAGGTGGCCTTGGCCAAAAGACCCAAGGGGGCAGCTGAGGGGCTGGGCCTGGGCGGAGGGGGAGGGTGGCCGTGGTGATGGGACAGGGAGGGAGGCGGGGCTGGCCTTTACGGGGACCTGGCTGACAGGGAGTAAGTCAGAGCCCTGAGGGGGCCGCCCCAGGGGCAGCAGGACCTGGCACAGGCCTGGGCCTTTCCCCAGAAAGGCATGTCGGGGGATTGCTGTGGGCCACACAGGTGGCATCTTGGACTAGCCCTGTGAGCATCCTCCTGCCCCCGCGTCCCCTCCTTGCTCCCTGTCCCAGAGCCAGCACTTATGTAGAGGCCAACAGCCTGGCAGGGCCTCATGGCAGCCCCTCGCTCTCTGTGCCAAGGTGTCCTGACCGCCTCCCCTTCCCCCCGACCATCACTGCCAGGAGTGAGCCAGGGAGCAGGCAGAGGGCTGAACTGGGGGAGACACCTGGGGCCACACTTTACCCCTCGGCCCTGCCTGTCCACTGCTTGAGAGACCATCAGCCCTGCCTGCCCGCTGC